GAACCAACTTTACATGCTTCTGAACATCAGTCAAAGAGTAAAATACTGACTCTTGAACTACAGAACTGCAGCCTTTAGACCTGTGTCGTGTTTTAATGAACAGAGGGAAGGTCTTACCGATGACGGACACAGAGCCGAGAGGAGCGATGAGTGACGCCGGAGCGAATCCATACGCAGCGAAGTTCCCCAGCTCCCCCAAACCCATCAGCAGGATCCCGCACCACCACAGACGGCTGGTGTAGTACGGCTTCGTCCCTCGCTGCGACTGCCGCACATGCGTGTATTTCTGCAAAAACACCAGCAGCACTACCACAGTTTAGCAGAGGACCTCTAAACATCAAACACACAGCACCGAAACATTGACAGAGCATTTGTGTGTGTGATCGTGTGAGCGAGCCGAGCATCACCTGGATATTCAAGGAGATGCTGATGAGAAAGTTTCCACATACTGCGATGCAAATCCCCATGATATAAACCTACGAACACAAAACATCAGCTCAGGGGCATCACTAGTGTGGGGAGATGGGACAGATCCTGTTCCTCATCCCTAAAACACCATTGGCTGAATTATTTCTCCAGGACCAACAAGGATGATTCAAGGTTGCAGTCACTGTAGATTGAGTTTAATTTCAGATTAGAGGTAGCGGTGGCTGTAGTTTTAGTTTAGTTTCAGATTAGAGGTTGCAGTCACCGTAGATTGAGTTTAGTTTCAGATTAGAGGTCGCGGTGGCTGTAGTTTTAGTTTAGTTTCAGATTAGAGGTTGCTGTAGTTTTAGTTTAGTTTCAGATTAGAGGTTGCTGTAGTTTTAGTTTAGTTTCAGATTAGAGGTTGCAGTCACTGTAGACTGAGTTTAGTTTCAGATTAGAGGTCGCTGTAGTTTTAGTTTAGTGTCAGATTAGAGGTCATGGTGGCTGTAGTTTTAGTTTAGTTTCAGATTAGAGGTCACGGTGGCTGTAGATTGAGTTTAGTTTCAGATTAGAGGTTTCCTCTATTGTTATCTTTGTACCTCCATCCTGGATCTTCACCTGTCGTTCCCACAAGGCATGTAAAGAGAGTGGATAACCACATTCACAAACATACTGCACCACTAGCAAATGAAAAGAACAACAGATACAAATTCAGCACAGCTGTGGTCATATTCATCTCTCTGACGTTCTGCTGCTGTTTAGAGCTCTATGATCAGTCTGTTTTACCATTTGTGTACATACATACAGATCAGACAGAGCTTACACATGACATACAACCATGATCTAAAAAAAAAGAAAACTTTACAGGGAATCAAAACGTCACATTCCTGAAAAGTGTGTAAACACAAATAACATTGACTTTCA